AGTCCCCAAAAAACCCCCCTCTTTACACCCCCCCCACACCCCCCCCGAGTCGCCCCCCCCCCCCCCCCCCCCACCCCCCCAAAAAAAATACACCTGGGTAGTATAATTACAGTTACTTCCAGTCAGCCCTGCTTTACATTCATTCAATGTCTCTCTCAAGATCAGGGAGAGCCAGAGGCCGAGATGGAGAACGCAGCCATCGCGTCGGACCCCGGCTCCAGCCTCTACCTACCCGGCCACAGTAAGCCTTACGACCCGAGGGCTGCTGCCGACGCTCAGGAGAGCATGAAAGCCAAACTCATCGCCATCGGCAGGAAACTGGTCGAACAGGTGAGACCCCCTCAAAAAACGCTGTACCAGTAGCCTATCATTGTGTGGAATCTATGAAATCCCCCTTTTATGTTACTAAAAGTTTTGGGGAGGTTTGGGGAGGGGACTTGTGCACCACTCGGGGGAGCTCGCGTGCCGTTGAAGTAGATGATGGGGGAGACAGGGAATGGGGGATGCTTGTTGTTATAAGTTTTATATTGATGCCAGCCCACGTGCTTGCTGATAATGAAGCAGTGTTCATTATTAATTCTGTGTGTCGGCTACAGAGCCCAGTTAAACCCTTCTTTCCCCTGCGTCCTCTCTACAGGGGCCCTGTCATGTTGAGCTGCAGAGAGCCTTGGACAAGATTGCCAAATCTCAGCAGAAATTAGGGGACAAATTAACCAGATTCTACCTCCCCAACTGTGACAAACACGGGTTTTACAAACCCAAACAGGTACTTATCTTTAGCTAAAGTGTGTGTTGGATTCATAACACTCAGCATGAGATAATCTCACCAAGTTGTGTGTGTGGTGTGTGAGGCAAGATTTTTATCAACCACAGTATTACAAGTGTGTGAGTGAGTGTGTGTTGCAGGCAGGGTGTTTTAAGTGTGTGTTTCATTTAGTGTGATTTTACATACTGTAGGTAGTGCTGCATTGCCATACACCTGTGTATGACATATAAAATGAAAAATTCAAGCAGCTGAATGAAATGATTTTCTGTTTGTTTTTCTTCTGCAGTGCGAGTCCTCTCTGGACGGACAGAGGGGTCGATGCTGGTGTGTGAACCCCTGGAACGGCAAGAAGATTTTAGGTTCGACTGACCTGGCTGCAGATGCCGAGTGCCCTTAAAGAGACCAACCGCTGAGTTAGATCTCACAAAAAAAAAAAAAAAGAAGTAAGCCACTGATTTTTCCTTTTTTGATAGCTGTTTATTTATTGATCTTGTCCATGGTGGTGTTTAATTCAGGTACACTGTCATTGCGGGGCTTTGGGTCCCAGCTATACCCTGATCCCCAACCTCCCTCCTCTTCAAACACCCGTCCCAAAGAGAAAAAAATATCTATTTTTGTTTTTCTGAAAAGAAGATTTTAATATTGATGCATACACTTCTACTCTTCAGCCTTATTTATTTCAACTTTATTTCATTTTATTTGTTATTTGTAATTATTTTACGAGTATTTATATCATTTTTTTTGCCTTATTATTATTATATTGTTATTTTTTATGGGTGTATAAAGTGTACATATGTATCTTGGCTCTGAGTAACTCCACTAATGAGTTGTCTGGAGGTTTGGTTTGTGATGAACTAAGCAAGAACAAAAGCACTGAGTTACCAAATGTCATTTAGAAATATTTCTAAATGTTTTTATGATTCATTTTCACCTTGTTGCCATTGTTATGTTTTTTTGTTGTTGTTGATTTGACACATGATCAGCTCTTGTCAGTGAATGCAAAACTCTCAGTCGGGAATCCTTAAATAGTACTCAGAAAACATTTCCCATGGTTCCATGGGGTTGCAGTTTGCATGACAGGCAGTGCCTCCCTGCGCCGCCTCTCAGACGGGTATTTCTACATTAACCTACCTCCAATATTTATGTGTCTGCTGTAAGTTGTGTCGATGTATCTGTCAAAAAAGACTTGCTAGTTTATTTTACATGTTGCTGTTGTCTCTGACCGAGAACACATGACCACAAAGAGCGAGTCCCTCGGCGAACCAGGCCGTGGGACGCCTTTGCTCTTCATCTACATGCTGCTGTTGGAGAAAGAATTATTGTTTGTGTGAGTCTATTCCAAAGTGAAAAACTGCTCACGTGTGTATGTAAACTTTTGTAATTGAGATGTAATGTAAAAAGAAAAAAAGGTGATATATTTAATAAAAACATTAACGTCAGCTATGCGCTCCTGGCCTCTCTTTCACCTCAGACAGGTTTACTTTGTGCACAAACATCCATAGGTGGCAAAACATCAGAATCATTACAGCCTCATCAGGACATTATGCAAGTCTGTGTAGATGCACCCCTGCACCACATTTTCTATATTCGGCGTGTTTGTGTGCAGTGTTATCACGGGGATCTAAAGCGGAGGTCCTTGTCTAACTTTAGACAGTTCGCGGGGAGATGCAGCTCCACGCTGCCTTTTGACCCGCTCTCTGTTTGCCTTGGTCGGCACAGGAATTCGCCTCAACCTCTTGTGCCCACTGCCAGCCTGCCCGGCACCACCAGATTTATTTTTATTCTTTACAAATTGAACCTTTGCTTTATCCTTATTGACACATTCCAAGACTGAGGGGAGCTTGATTGCATTCAAGGACTTCAAGAGGAGTCCCGATCGCCTGCAGAAATGAAGTTGAGATGGCCATCCTATTGGTGACAGTACAGGCCTCATTCTTCCCAGTGATATTTAAAAAAAGTCTCGGATGACATGAAAACAAACATCAGGGACAGCATCTTAAAATGTGTTCATTTTTTATTAAAAAAAAAACAAAAAAAAAACACAAGACATTAAATACAAATTATATTTTGAATCAAAATCATTTCATTTCTCAGAGAAAATAATAGCGGTGTGATTTCTAGATAAGTATCATGAAAAGTTTGAATAATAAAAAAAAATAAAATCCTCTTTGAAGGATAAACTTGAAACAAAAAACAAAATACATTGACCCGTGAACAGAGAGATTCTTAGCATGACCAGCAGGGAAAAAAGAATGATAGAAAATAAAAAGTGACATTACAGAAGTGTGACCTTGGCTCTGCAGACGGAGGCGGGATGGCTGGGTGTGCATGGAGAGAAGTGACTTATTGAGAGGTGAGAGGTTCACCGGCCTTAAGAAGCAGTGAACTAAGATGACCAGAGACCTGAGTGCCTGACTGACACAGATTTTGCCCGAGGCTGAAACTCGCCTGTTGGCCACGGAGCTTACAAATGACCCAGCTGAGCAACAGAAGGAAACGGTTCATTAAAAAAAAAAAAAAAAAAAAACATTCATTAGTGATTATATTCCCCAAAATACACTGAATTAAATACACTTTGCTGTGCAATCGGTGAGTCACTGAATTGTTCATAAGAAAACCTAGTTTGGATCAGCTTATAATTCTTTCTTAGATAAATAATTGTATTTTTTAAGTACTGTACATGATGTCTAGTCAGACACATAGCTGGCCAGGAAATAATAATATATAAAAAGACACACTTACAAATATGAGGGAGGGAATAGCTTAAACATATTTGTATGTATGTTCCTCCCCGTACATCAAGTCTTTGAATAGATGGGATAAAGCACCAACAGGTTGGTTATAAGTTGCTGCTCAATATTAAAGGACGTGTACAGCCGATTTCATGCTACCAAGCTACTGGGCAAGCATTCTTTGTCGGCACTCTCTCCACTTTTCAAGTCTTTACACAGGATGTGGGAGAGCATCGGGCAGGAAGCTCCTCGGGGAGAACCCCGCCTCCTCCCTCAGACCCCCTACCACTAGTGTGAATGCATATTTGGTGCTGTGTCCACCTTGTGGAGATTTGTTGGCATATGATCATACAAGCATTTTTTTCAAAGAAAAACAACAACAAAAAAGAAAACAGTTGCATTGAATGGAAAATTTCTGAGGGGCTGTTCGCTAAGGTTGGTGTCAGAAGTCCTGGTGTAGCTTCGTTGTTTTTTCCCCGATCTTTATTTCCCCCTCCTCCCTGGGTTATTATTGTTTTCTTACAGTATCACAATGTTTCATCTGACATTATCTCTGAGGAAAGGTATGCAGATGCAGATAGGTCCAATTGTCTTTAACTGCATGCATTGATGAGTAGCGGCGCAGCTAAAGTGCTTTAAGTGCTTGTGCTTGGGCGCTTGAAGCATAGGGTCAGCTGGCACCTGCTGCAGGGCAGGCCGGTCACAACGGGCTTGTCCCGTTCAAACAAGGCTACACCAGGTTGCACCACTGACAGGAAAAAGGACCAGAGGCTGGGAAGGGTGCTGGAGTGGGGACTAACAGCGCGGTTTAGTGGGTTGGAGACGGGGACGGGATCAGGCACACAGACGAGGACAAAGTTTTAGACAGGGGGTAAAGACATGTAGGATTGGAGGACCCAAGCACCAGAGCAGACAAGGATGGGGATGAGGACGCAGGAGAGCAGGATTCAAGTGGAACAGGGACATGGATGTGGACAGGAACAGTTGTGGGAAAGAGACAGAAGACAGACGAATCTAAACTAACCTGGATTGCAGGGCGGCATGTGATCGCCTTATAATAACACTCCACCAACAATCTATCCTTTGAGTTTTCAATACTGGAGATTCACAGCAGTTACAGTGGACTCTATTGGAAACCCAGAGTAATAGAAAAGTGTAGAAATGTCCATGGTAACTCCTCAAACCACTGCAGCAGCATTAGCCACCTCTCCACTTTCCGTACATTCGTATCGTCACCAAATTATGGCTAAATACATAACTTCTCTTCGTTGCTAGCACAGTTAGCTCTTCAGCTGTCTGTCAATCGCAACTACACTGCAGACATCAACAGCTATCTGTTCTAGCGACAATGAAAGCTGTGCCTTCAGCCATATTTCGGAGGCCTGATAGTCTGACTGAATTGCCATTTCATGTTTGCTTCATTATCCAATCTGATGTGTTTAGCTGTTATTTGGGGTCGTTTTGCACTGACCAATAAAGAAGAAAGACTTTTCCATCAGCGCCTCATTAGAAGTCTGCAACAAGGCTCATATGTTGACACATTTTCCATCTAAATCGGCAGTCGATCCATTCCTTCAGTAAACGCCACCTCATATGTCTGCAGCGTGTAGTGTACCTTGCTGGAGGAGTGGTTTCATAAGTTTCCATGGATGTTTTTATGCTGTTTTTGCCGGATCATCCAAGTATTTGATACTCAAAAGGTAGATTTTCAGTGAAGTATTCCTTTATTGGAAGACTACAGGGGGTGAAGGGGAGGGGAGGCATGAAAAGGTCGGTTTTTAAGGCACTGTAACTGCATGGTTCGCCTCCATCCCCTGCCCTATAGCAGGGCGAGGGACAAGCCAGAGGCAGCAGGGAGGGCCTTTGGAGCTGAATAAGAAGCCAAAGTCCTGCCATCCCACAATCCTTCAATTCAAAATGGACCCTGAGCCAGAGAGCGGTTACTTTTTCTGCATTGTTTTTAATGGAGCAGGGGCCGGGGATGGGCAGTCTGATAACTCTAAACTGAGCTTAGTGACTTACAGTATTTACACAAATAAACACTTTTTGGGAAAGCGCACCATCTTGCACAGACATGCAGCTGTGCACAAGTATGTTATGCAAGTGCTCACACATTAAGACACACACAGACTCTCGGTTACTCACTCACAGACAGACACACACAATAGAAACGGCGGTGGTACGTTTTGTTTTTTTCGGGTCACAGTCACAAACAAGTCCTCTTTAAAGTGAGTGGAAAAGTCCCTCCTTCCTCTCTCTCTGAAAGAATAGTGCAGATGGTAGGATTCTCTCTTTCTTCCCCTTCTCTCTCAGCTTTCAGCTTAATTGTTTTTTTTTTGTTTTGTTTCAAAGAAAGGATAAAGGTTCCCTAAGCACAGGACAGATAGCTGTGATGGACAGGAGACTCGGCCGGCCGCCGAGGCTGTGCTCCACCCCTTTTCCCTCCCCTCCCCATTGCTCTCTACCGAACTCTCCCACAGAAATCAGACCTGAAATAAAAGGCCCAGAGCCCCTTCAAATGTTTACATAAAACTACATGCAAGGGCAAAGTAGTCTCTCTCTCTGTCTTTCTACCTTCTTCCCCCGCCCCATCCTCTGTCTTCCTCTCTCCATCCACTCGTCATCCCTTCGTCCCCTCATTTGCTCTCCAGGTTGTAGCACTGCGTCTCGCCCCGCTCCTTGCCGTCGTAGCCGGGCAGAGGCTGCCCGTATTTGTCCACGCACCAGCAGTAGCCCCGCCTCCTGCCTTTGGATGGACGGCACTGCGAAAACAGGTTGGGAAAAAGAATTAGTATGGCGATTGCTTGCTTTTACCAAACGCTATGCAGAGATGAACATGAACAGACTTCGAAAAGAAAAAAGGTTTGCAACAGACAGTTCATGGACAAACATCACTCGACAAGCTCTAACTTCCATCCTTAGTTTAGAGGCCGACGGAAGAAAAGACTGGAAAGTAGCGGAGGACTTATCGCTTTGGGACACACTGTCTCAAAAACAGATTAGCGTTTCCAAGGTGAGGAGTTGCCCTGACACAGCTTTATCAACACAACCCTCAACGTGCATGTGTTTATTTTAATAAGACTCTATCTCTCTTTGTTGGCTTTTAGGTTTTGGATGCTTGTCAGGAGGCCGAGTCATGCCTCAGCAGAACTCTAATAAGACAAAACACCATTGATCACGGAGAGGAATGCCCTGTTGTCTGGAGCTGCCTCCCAGCTTTTACATGCTGTAACTATCAGAGAGAGAAACACTGCATAATGCAGCTGCTCGCCTTGTGAAAGACGAGGATAAATGTATCACGACCAGAGCAGGGGAGTATCGCACAGGCGTCCAACGTGCAACCAGCATGCCGTTGAGTTTGTCCCCTCTGTGAGCTGTTTATCTATCAGGCTAATGTGCTCCTGACCAGCGGGGGCAAACGATGAAAAAGCAGATTATTTTTGATAGAGAGGGGCAGGGAATGAGGAACTCACTGAGCGAGTGAGAGTGAAGGAGTGTGAAGGTAAACATGGAGTTGCTAAAGTATTTGCCAAGGCCAAGGTTGGAGGGCTGCTATTCTGGGAAACTCGCAGAAACTAGAAATCATCTGGAGGCGATTATGGCCTGCGCATGCACGAGTGCACATAAACACACATCAGCAAACATGTAGGCGCACACAAACAAGATTTGTATCTACTGTACATATACATACCCCCCACCAGCACACGTACGCGCACACACACACACACACATATGCAGTAACATCAGATGTCCCACAGGGGGCAGTCCATAAATATATATACCTTTCTCTGTACACCAGAACACTGGATTTCAATTGAAACAACAGCTATGAGGTTTAGCTGCTTACTTTGACGATGTAAATGACTAAACCAGTGGATTTGCATTTTTAGCCCATTTACTGTAAACCACTTGCCTTATAGATAGCCATTGGTCACCATCCATTTCTGTACAATATGAAAATGAATTAGCAGACTGTTGAATCTACAATCGATACAACACTTGCGGTCTACATTCATTTGTGTGTAAGTTACACAATACTTTTTTTTTAATGCAGACTTTTCACATGAATCTTAACTTAATCTACTATTACCGCACAATGACAATCTAACCCTGACTAAACTAATGCAAACTGCAGAGAAATTAAGGGAAACCAATGGCTGCCAGGGATGGTAAGAAGAAAGGTATTCGGAAGGATTGCACATCCATATAGCATCAAGACTGTCGAAGGCTGTGTGTGATTTAGTGACATCTAGTGGGGAGGTTGCAGATTGCATCCAACTGATAACCTCTTCTCTCACCCGTCCCTTTTCAAGGATGTCGGAGAAGTACGGTGGCCTTCAGGTAGTGTAAAAACGCAAAAGGCTTTTGCCAATGTTTGGTTTGTCCGTTCTGGGCTACAGTAGAAACATGGCGGTGCAACAGGGCGGACTCTGTGAAGAGAACCCACTCTCTATGTAGATATGAAGGGCTTATTCTAGGCTCACGAAAATACGATTCTTAGTTTCAGGTGATTATACACCAATGAAAACATAGTTATTATGAATATGCTCTTCCATTTTCTGCCACTTAGTTCCCCTAAATGTCACACACTGTACCTTTAAAAGCTTAAAATAACCCTGATACACTGCGTCACATTGATTTAAAGATGCTTTTGTCCACAATGCATTATTTATATTTTCTCATTTCCATACATTGGGAGCAATGTGGTTCAGTGTCATGCTCAAGGAGAATTCTCCTTGTGGACAGGAGGAGCTGTGAATCAGACCACAAACCAGCTGGGAAGTAGCGCAACAATGTTTGCACAAGTGCAAAACACACAGGCAGCGTTGCATCATTTAGCACCAGCCAAGATGTGATGAGTTGGGGAGCAAGTGTGATGAAACAGCTGCTTTTTTTTCGAAGGGCTGCTGAACAATGACACTGGGAATTAGGACGTTGGTTTATACCGACACGTGATAACTTGTGGTTACGTGTCAAGACGCCACTGGTGTGTCGGCTTATATTGATGACTTCAACATTGGAGACTGCAACTGTGTTGCATCTTCAACCAATAGTCAACATCGATTCTAAATGTTTATTCCCATTCTTTCCAAGAGTTGTGTAAGAAGATCGATACCACTCTTATGTCTGTACGTTAACTATGGAGCTGAGAGAATAACACATTAACAGCCAGGTTTGCTTTTTTTTCTTCTTTATCACGTTATGTATTACTTTCTCATGTATTTGGGAAGGTGGTCCACGGAAATCTTTTAAAAATCAGAAGTGGGCCTTAAGTTACAAAAGGCGGAGAACCCCTGCACTCCTGTACTCCTTCTAACTCCCTTTGGGGATATTTCCTAAAATGCCAAAAACAAAACGATCGTAATATTGACGGACTGCATTGCAGCCGGCTGCGCAGCGATGCAGAAGCAGACAGACCCGACAGAATTTAGAGTGTGACCAGGTGTCTGTTTCCGGCGTCTTCGACATCCACGTGCAGCCTGAGTGCATGATCAAAGGCAGCTTTATAGAGACAGAGGCCTATTAAAATACCTCGCCAACAACTACCGCAGCAGTCTAGGTGCAAGTACGCAGCCAAACACACCCATTCTCACGCACTAAGAATCAAGAGATTCTTTTCGGTTTTCCTCCTTCCTCTCTTCTTCTCTTCCTCCTCTTGTGTCTTAGTCTTTTTTCTTTCTCTCTCTCTCCTGTCCTCCCTTCATTACACCTCAGGGAGCCATCGTCTGAGTCTGCGGCCAACTTCTATTTCGGCCCCGACCCAGTGGACGCGACTGGGCAGAGGAGCTTCACATTGTGTTCCTCTGCTCTGGTTAATGATGATGGAGTCCTGTATGTGCTTGGTGTGTGCATGTGAATGTGAATGTGAATGTGTGTGTGAGTGTGTGTGTGTGTGTGTGTGTGTGTTGAAAAGCCAAAGGAGAGGCGGAAGGGAGAGGAAGAGCAAAATGTGCATGTGTGCATTCCCCTGTTGCTTGGCTACCTTTGAATTTCCGCTCAGTCTCTCTTTCATCTGAGAACTATTAGCAGTCATCTCAAGCAATCCTTTCTTTACGGCTTGAATCTACACACACACACACACACACACACACACACACACACACACACACACA